CCCAGGTTGAGGGAGAGCTCTTTTATAGAGGGGGACATGGGAGAGAGATCTTTGCAATACACTGTGTCTCTGTAGAGACACCCCTTTAGAGAAGTTTCTACCAACTTACAAAGCACCCAGCAGGTACATGGCCCCATCCTCTTTCTCCTCCTTGCCCACTCCCCAGCCTTGGAGATGCCACTCTGGACAGCTACTGTGTGTGCAGCGAGGAAAGCAAGAAACAGCATGGGAAAAGATTAAAGCCAGCAAACACCCTTCGTACCTGATGAACCTGAGCTGAGGACCAGCCCCAGGTCAAGACATGTCACAGTACAAGACCAGGCAGGCTAGTTACTAAATTGCTGCTGTTTGGCCTGAGGGTGACTGGAAAAGCCACAGAATGCTTATGTGTCACCTTGCTACAATCTCTGTGAATTTTTAAAAATTAATATAAACAGTTTTACTTGGGAATAGCTATTTGTGTCATAGAATATAAAATTTGATTTATACACTATAAAAAAGAACCAAAATTCAAATTGAAAAGAACTTTACAGAACACACACACACACACACACACACACACACACACATACCCATACGCACAGAGCAAAGCCCCTTACACTCCAGAAAGAGACTAATGCTCAGCTACCAGCATCTGGCCCCATGCTTCATAAGGAGGAAGCCTTCAGTCCTCCAGGGCCTCTGCTGTTAACAGTCTCAGTGGCATAGGCATTTGTAGTGATGGGCTGCCCCAGCATGCTAGCTGGAGCACCCTTGGGGAGCCAGCACTTGTCTAGGGCATCTCTAGAGAGCCTCTTCTTCCACCCAGGTCCCAGAGCAGCTTTGCCTATTTCCCCCTTGGAGTTGCTTTTTGAGGGGAGGTGTTGGCAGCTAGAAGGGAGTGCCTCTAAGGGGTGGGGATTCGGGAACGAAATACTTGACAACACATCTGAGACTTGACAGCTTGGCTTGTAGTTAAGTCACAGACCCTGCATTCAGCCCAGTAAGAATCCACATTACTATCTGGTGAGACGAAGTAGCTGAGTGTTTGTGGGCAAACTGCCTAACCTCTCTGAGCCACAGTTTTTCTGAATATCATAAAGTGGCTGTGTAGTAGTAGGGTGAGGTGTTTCAGGCTTCTAAGGGGTTTCTATACATATATCCTGGGTCTGCAGCTGTTTCTCAAACTAGGCAAGAACTTGCATCTGTGTAAGTCTCCTCTGTGGCACCAGGTATCTTGTTTCCAGTCTCAGCTTTTCCAGGACAGCCCAGGCCCTCCCCACTGCCCCAGAAGTGATATAAACTGTCCCACCAGATGTAAACATGCCGTGGGGAAGCAGGTCTCTCAGTCATTTTCTCCTGCCCCCAGGCTGGACCTCATATAACCCATGGCCTTCTTCTATACCCCTTGGCTCCCTGCCCTCGAAGCTGAACACCAGGGCCAGCCAACTCCTTTCCTCCACTAATACTGCCCATCTCCAAATGACACAGTATTTGTTGAGAAGACTTTTCTAGCCGTGACCCTGGCCATGTCCTTTTCCTCTCGATAGAGAAGGGACAGGCAGGACACCTGTGCATGGATAGAACCACCTGACTAGGTTGGACATCTAACCTGAGCTGGCTTCTGGAGGAAGGGAGTCTCTATTTCTTGGGAGGGTGATTGTCTGTCTGGGGTCCCTGGCAGGTACCCAAGTGATCTCTGGAGTTGGCTTTGAGGAGAGAAGACAGACAGCCTTCTTTTGTCCCCCTTCACTGTGCAGTGGGTCTCTTGTTGCCCTGAGCTGGAGTCTGTGGAATCCCACTTCTCAATCTTACTGTCAGGTGGGTTTCCTTCAGTGATTCCCTCTCTCACCCTGGGGGCCTCCACAAACCCCTGCCTCTTCTCCAGTTCTGTTCCCTGGGTGATCTTTCTGGAAGGATGATGGGGGTACTCACCGGCTTGCCACGGCTGCTGTGCAGGCTGCTGACTCCCCTCTGCCTCTGCGCTCCCACATTCACACATCATGCTGTGAAAACCTTGCTATTCGTGTGGGGCTTAGAAATCACTGTTTAGGAGCTGCGCCTCTGGTAGGTTCTCAGTTCTTCCCAGATCTGAGGCCTCCGCCTGTCTCCCAGAGGTGGGGGCCAGAGGAAGCTACTTGTGTGGTCACTGGCCTCCAAAGGGCCCCCAAAGTACCCTAGTCCCTTGCTTCAGTCTGTGGAAGGGAACACCAAGGCTCAGAGAAGAAAGTGATTTGTTGGGCACCCACTACTAGTGTCTGAACTAGGATGTAGACCGATATGGCTTTCACCTTCTCCTTCAGCTCACTGAGATGCCCTGAGAGGCTTGAGCAGGCTGTCTCTGTTCTGCCTACCCAGGTTTGACCACAGTTAGACAGGGGGCCCAGGAGGTTCACAGCTTTCGGGTGGCAGATGACTGAGGATGTAATCACAAATATTTCTCTGAATACGTGTTAGTATATGTGTATTTTGTATACACAGTACCCTTCAAATGCTTGGCAAATTTGCCTGTGAGTTTCTGGGTCCAGGATCTCACACAATAGCTTCTGGGGCAACTGGGAAGCCACAATGATTAGGTAGGACCTAAGGTTCAGACGCCCTGAACACCCTGGATACAGGCCTGGGCCGGCTCTCAGCTAACCTTGGGATAGATCAGTGTGGCAGGTTGAATGTAAAAAAAAAAAAAAATAGCCTTAGTCCCCAGTCCTTTGTGTGTTTACACCTGCAGAGAGGGTCTGAGTTGTTTTCCTCAAAACTGGCCTGCCCTGTGACTTCCTCTGCCAACAGGAAGTGGGAGCCACAAGAGATTTTATCTGCTGGATACTCTGTGAGCTCTACACTGAACAGTCCTGGCTTCCCCGATGCAGGATGATGCAACATAACTCAATTGTGGCTGGCGAGGCCCCACACTTGCAGTTATGGTCAGCAAGGCCATAGGACCAGCCTTTCCATGGAATACAAATGCATGTGATGATTCTGCCAACCCTAGGTCAGACCTGCCCAGGCAATAGCAGACTGGGAACAAAATGAATGCTTTCTGCAATGTCCCAGAGTCAGCCTCTTTGTTACATGCATAGATTTGAGTCTAGAGAGCACATGATAAGATTTATAGACTTATGTTCCTGAATAAGGAGTTGGGAAAGGGACACATGGATAGTGACTTAGAAACAGACAATTATTAAGGAATGGAGAATCTGAGAATGGAGGCAGGATAGACACCTGGGAGGCTCAAAAGTCACAAACATTCTAATAAAGGGGCTCTTTATAGGCCATTTGCATAGAACCTACCTCTTCCTCATTTGTCATCTGTATGAGGTACGCCTCTGTTCCTTACTCTAGCCCTGGAAGGAAGCTTTCCAGTCTCTGCCAACTGGCTTCTCTTGTTAATTCTTGATGCCTCTTTCTCCAAGTCAAAAATCTCCTGTGATAATCTGTGGGGTAGCTTGAGCATCGCTTATATCAGTAACCACAAGTATTGGCTGAGGCTTAGAAAACAGGCACCCCAAGGCATAGCTTGTGGATGTGGCTTTTCTGAGATAAGAGTGAGCCAGAGTTTCTGACCTTCAGCCACCCTCCGCTCCCTTATTTATGACTTGTTCCTCAGGGCACTCTTGAAGTTCCAGGATCTACAGATCCAGGAACTACCAGGCCTTGTTCTTGCCACAAGTTGTACCCCCATCTCCTCAAGCAGTGGGATTAATGTCACAGGAGACCCCACAGGCTGCCACACACCACTTGCCTGCAACTTGTCTTACTATAGAGAAACTACCTTTGTTCCTGCATTGAGACTCTGTCTGCCCTGCACTCCTCCCTTCACCCTTCTCAGCCCAGGGCTATCCCTTCCCTCCAAGCCTCAGCTACTACTTCGTTCTACAGTACCTGATTCTGCATAAGCCACACCCATCTGGCTCTTCCCAGGATCTGTGAGATTCTGTGACAGGCATCTAATAAATTTAAATATCGTTCTCCTGTTAATCTGTTTACTGTCTGCTGTCTTAAAAGATTCTAGAAGCTTCAGGGGAGAGAAGTGATGTGCTTCCTTTTTCCCTACAGGACACTGAAATTTCAGAATAGGAAGGAAGTCAGGCATGGTGACACATCCCTGTCACGCCAGTGCTTAGGGGATGGAGGTGGGAGAATCAGGAGTTCAAGGCCTTCCTCAGCTTGGGAGTTTGAGGTCAGCCCGAGAAACATGAAGTCTTGACTTATCTTCCTCTAAAACTGCCTTTACTTCAGTAAAACAAACAACAAGAGCAGGGGAAACTAGAGATGTGGGAGTGTCCACAGCGCCCAGCCTTGCCTCCCTCAACCCCTGCAGATTCATGTAGCCCATGAGCCAGTGATTCGGCCAGTACGGTCAAATCTCTCTTGCTAAATGAATCTTTTCCTTGCTTTTTCTTTGGATATGGCTGAATCTGTCAATTCTGTCCATACAATTCTATTTGTAACCCTTTGCTGGGAAATATTCCATGGGACTGGGTACTTAATGGAGTTGCTCTCATCCTGATACCATCCTTGAGAGGTCCCTTCCTGATTGCCCTGTGAAGTTTGCATCTCTACCATTGCCCAACCCAGATGGCTATTTTTTTTTTTTTTTTTTGGGCTTGAGTGGCTGGCTTTTTACAGTTCCAGCAGGCAGTATGCTGTCCATTTGGGGTCTCACTCACACACCCAGGAGGGCTGGGAGCATGCACCAGGGTTAGGCAGCCCATACTTTCTGTGTTTCTCCTCATGTTCCATGGGTATGAGGAATTACCTTTCAGGATTAGAATTGGGGGAGGGAAATTAGAGGCTGAACCGACAGTTGGCCTGTCTATTAGTTTAGAATTGGCTTCTAACAATAAGCATACAACAGGAGCAGCTGATCAAAAAATGCAACGTTTATGTAGTTTGTTAAAGTTAAAAGATATGCAGAGTCAAAGGGAAAAAAGGTTATGAATTAAGAAAGCACAATTAATAACAAACCAAAGGAACGCTTAAGAGTGAAGAGGTGGAAAAGTGGATGTTCATCTTGGCCTAGAGGTAATGCCAAGGTCAAGGTCACAGGTGTTTCATCATAAATCAAAGACACTGTTGTAGCAGCTCTTCCTGTGGAATGTCATCAAAATGGGCATTCTGTCAGCTATTCTGTCAATTATTTCTGGGCATGATCTACTTCTTGGTATAACTGTTCAGGGGGAACTTCACTGGGGAGGGCGGCCTGGCCTGGGATGTTGGTGGCACTGTTTGGGCTGGTGGTGTCGACAGGTCCAGTGGTCGTGTTGACTGTGTTGCCACCAAACATGGTTGGGATCGTCATGTTCTGAAAGTCAAAGGACAGGAAGCCCATTAGTGTCATTTCTAGTGAACTTTAAAAGGCTGTACCTTCTTTCCCTTCCTTTTCCCATGCCTTCGGTAGACCCTCTCTCATGGATGCTGGGCTTGGTCATATGACACTCTTTAGCTAAGGAGACAACAATAGTAATGGGGATATGAGCAGCAACCTGTGAAGTTTTTACACATGGTTGGTTGGTCTTTCTCATTGGAACAGAAAACAGTCTGCCTGACCTGATAAATAATGAGATAAGTAGTCCAGTTTTTTCTGTCCACAGCCAGTTTGCCAACTGCCAGACACTTACTTGTGCCTCTATCCAAGACCACCCAACCACTGGGTATCACTGCAAACAACTACAGACTTGGCAATCCCAGCAGGTTAGAACTGTCTGCAAGACCTAGAGGATCATGAGCTGAATACCTGTTAAGTGAGCCCTTACATCTTGGGGTTGCATTTCTGAAGTTATCAATGGATAAATGACAATTGAAGTACATTTTAGGCCTAACAACAAATGTTAAATTAGAGTTAGACCAAATAGAAAGGATTGTGTCTAATCAGCCCCGTGCTAAGTAAGACTGTGTGTGTGAACAGTGCATGGGGATATGTGTTAAATGTGTGTGCACGTGTGTATGGAGGCCAGGGATGTCACTGTGTGTCTTCCTCAGCTGCTCTCCACTTTATTTTTTGAGACAGATTCTCTCAATGAACCTGGAGCTCACTGATTGGCTAGATTGGCTGGCCAGTGAGCTCAATCTACCCATCTGGGTCCTGCCTTCCTGATCCTGATGTGTCCGGGGTTACAGACTCATGCTGCAGAACCTGCCTTCTATGTGAATGCTGGGGATCTTAACTCAGGTCCTTGCACTTGTATGGCTAGCAGTTTACAGGCTGAACCATGTCTCCAGTCTTTAGTGAGGCCCTTGGCTATACTGAAAAGCTTCTAAAAGGCTTTTCTTATGTGCTTGGTCTCAGAGAAGTCAGATCTCAAAATAGGTGTTGGTAGATGTAGAGAGAGGTCTATCTAGAACACAACTAAAGATGAAGCTTTCTTTTTTCAAGTTGCAACATCCATAATCTGGTACATAGAACATCCCCATATATTTCTGAGGAACTTTTTTTTTGTTTTGTTTTTGGTTTTTTGTTTTTTGTTTTTTCGAGACAGGGTTTCTCTGTGTAGTTCTGGCTGTCCTGGAGCTCACTCTGTAGACCAGGCTGACCTTGAACTCAGAAATCCGCCTGTCTCTGCCTCCCAAGTGCTGGGATTAAAGACGTGTGCCACCACCGCCCGGCTCTGAGGAACTTGTATTAGCAAAAGGACCACTAAATATGAGCTGATGTTGCTTAAAGTACAAAAATGTTTAGAGAATTGCACATCTTTCTTAAGATGGAAAAGGTGGACTCTTTCTTATGAGAAAAGCAAAAATGTTGCTGGCAGAGCCAAGAGACTAGAGGTCAAGACCCCAGGGAATGGTGGATTAGGGAGACACATCTAGGGAGCAGTAGAAAGCAATATCAGACCCTTCCTCAAAGCTGAACTGATTCCTATCCAAGGAGTGCTCCTTGCCACCATGTGGATAATATTATTCCATAGGATTTCATTAGAATTTTTAAAATTATTGTAATTGTTTTTGAGATAGAGTCTAATGTTGTCCAGATTGGCCTCAAATTTGCTAAGTAGATAAAGATGACCTTGGTTTTCTGATTCTCCTGCCTCTACCTCCCAAGTTCTGGGATTATAAGCATGTTTCACCATGCCTGGTTTAAGCAGGGCTGGTGATCAAACCTAGGGTTTCCTGTAAGCCAACCAAGCTTTTTGCCTAAATTTTCAGTCCCTAAAGTTGCTTTAAATTTCATGGTTGCAGTGTTGAGCAGATCCATAATCTGAAACTGGACCCTGGACTTCAAGTATGGTAACAGAATTGGATGGGATGCATGGGAATCCTGGGATGGAGATAAGCATGGTTTGATTCTTTTGTAAGTGTTAGTAACTTAATTGAAAAAAAATCTACAAATCCTCCTGTTCATGCCTCTTAGGTAACTCTGTAGCTTTTTGCCCCATAACTGGGGCTAGTCCTCTGCTCACAAGTACTAAGTTTGGTCACGTGAGTGACTTTGGCCATAGGACATCATCAAGTAGGGCTCAAGCAAGGGCAAGAATGCTTGCCTGTGAGGGATTATGTGTTTTTCTGGGAATTCAGATGCCTTGTGAAGAAACTCAAGCTGGCAAACTGGGTAATGAGCTATCACCGGAGCAGAAATGAACCACCCCACTAAGAGACCTGGGTACCAGCTTTCCTGAAGCCCATCTGGCAGCTGGCTGCAGAAAGTGATTCCATCAAAGAGTGATAGCATCAGTTGAAGAGGTAGTCATGTATCACAGTACAAATGGATGATATTCAGAACCAAGAACCAAGTAAATCAGTGGTTCTCAACCTTCCCAAGGTTGTGGCCCTTTTAATACAGTTCCTCATGCTGTAGTGACCCCAAGCATAAAATTATTTTGGTTGCTACTTTATAACTGTAATTTTGCACTGTTATGAATCATAATGTAAATATCTGATGTGCAGGATATCTGACATGCGACCCCTACATGTTGAGGGCTGTTGAAGCAAATGCTTGCTGTTTTAAGGTACTTGGTTTGGGGGTAGTTTGTTATTCAGCAAAATGTATCCGATACACCCTCTCAGTCCTCACTTCTCTCAAGCTCTGGTCGCTCCTTGTTAAACCTTCCCAGAGCAGGCGCTGATTCCTGGAATAGAGCCCAACACTCACCTCAAAATGGGTCCAGCAGACAGCCTGGCATCCAAAATGTGAGACCACACAGGTGAGGATGAATTCCAGGAGTGCGAAGGGGAGGAGACTACCAGAGATTGCCTTCATAGAACTCTATAGGCAGAGAGGGAATGGGAGCACTTCAGTCTTAAGGGTTAACTGGATGACAGTCCACACTTGTAGCTGTTCTAAAACAACTGCCACATGCCTCATCTGGAAGACTAGAGACAGCTTCTATGTGTGGTGTATTGGTGTTGATGTTGTTGGTACCTTATGTACCTTTGCCATATACACTCAGTATACCCCCAAATTCTACCTGTCGGTCACTGAATTTCTTTATTGTGGCCTCTGGAGCCCACTTTGCTGTTTGTACCACAAAGTCAGAAGCTCAAACAATCTTCTGGGGAAATCTGTCTTCCATTGATGACTGGTAGGGTTGATGTGTAAGTACTCCAGATTCCTTGCCTTGAGGTCTTATTTACTTCCTTTCTCCACAAAAAAACTACTTGTTTTAAAGTTTACTTTTGAGACAATCCCTAACTGTGATGGATCCTAACAAGTTCTCTGACCATGAACCTACATGAGGGGCCAGGGGTCCTTACTGTGAATTAGGGGATTTACCAGTGAGGTCAGGACCATCAACTCTGCCTGGCTCCTGGCTGTCTTAGCTTGCATGATCCCTGTGGTCTTGTCTGAATCAGAGCTTTGATGGCAGGACTGAGCTCAGTATGCACTGGGCTATGGCTCCGCTGCATAGTGGAGGCAGGGTCTAGGAGTACTTCCTCTCCAGCTGAGGATGGGACCCGAGGGTTTAGCATCAGGCCTACAGGAGCCCTAAGCTTTTGTTCTGCACAAGACTAGTATACTCTTTGATGACAGAGGTGCCTATTGTTAAACAGCCACTTTTCAGACTAATAAGGTCAATGTTAATTCCTCATAACCAAAGTCTACCTCTTTATTAGTTCATCCTGTTGCCTAGGGCTGGACTCTAGAGGTCAAAAACCTTGCCTGGTTTCCTGCCATGTCCTATCAAGGCCAAGTTCTATCAGCTGGATTAGGCTTATTCTGGGGCCTACAGGGAAGCTCTCCCTTTGAGGACTTTCCTCACCTCTGTAGATGGGCCTCTGCTCTGCCAGGTTTCCTTGGTCTACTTGAGTAGTCCTGAAGGAGGACCAGGTTGGAGCTTGAGTCAGATAGCCATATCTCTATTCCCAGACCATTTCCCTCTTAATCTCAGAGTCCTCACTGTGGTATAGAAACATTGTGGTTGTTTTTAGCAGTTGCAGGGTTTCAATGGAAGTTATGTAATTTATGGATCATATTAGGATGGAATTCTGTTGCAATTCCTTCTTGCTCATGAAACCACTGTGTTAACTTTCCTGGTCCTGAAGAAGCATTGCGGCCAGTCCATTGTAATGCTTACCATCAGAAAATTGTTACTGGAGTTGTAAACACACAAATCTATGATGATAATAATGATACCAGTCAAGGAGAGGATGGAACTGACGACATTCATACCAATGCTGCTGTTCACCTAAAGGACATAAGGGGAGAGGAATGGTGAGCAAAGGTCAAAGTTCAGCATTTGGGAAGACTCAGGAAGTAGAATAAAAGAGGAGCAGGACAGAAAGGAGAGGGTCAGGCTGGTTGGAGCAGAAGCCCATTTGTCCTGAGGGCAGTTAGATGGTCATTGTGCCAACTCCCACAGGGCAGGAACCACACATTGGGAGAATATTGACAGCCGGCTAAGCATCTGAGGAAGGCTGGTGTGGAGGCAAGGTGAGGTTGTTGTTCTGCTCTGCAGAAGAAAAAAGCAGGGATGCCAAGCTCATTCTGAGAAGAGACAGTAAGAGAGACAGGGACTCTGGGGGTGAGGGGGAGCTGGAGCATGAGTTGATAAGTCTAGCTGGGAAAGATTTTCAAATATGAAGGCTCCCCTTTGCCACAGTGAGATGTTTAATTGTTTATGGCCTGCCTCCACTCAAGCTGCTTCCTTAGAGGGGTTTCTGGGGAAGAAAATAAATGTCAACATGTCACATTTGGGCTGAGTCTGGGGCAGCTGCCAGATACAGAAATTGAAGGAGAGATTTCCATTAGAAGTCATCCAAGCTGGGTGGGTCATGCTTTTAATCCCAGCACTCGGGAGGCAGATATCTGAGCCAGCCTGGTCTACAGAGTGAATGCCAGGACAGCCAGGACTGCACAGAGAAATCTTGTCTCAAAAAACCCAAAAACTAAAAGCCAAAACAACAGCAACAACAAAAGTCAGACATCTGAGGAAGATGGAGTCTGGAGAGAGGTCCCCCAGGGCATTGGGTTTCCCCGAGGGTGTGGACAATGTTTGCTGGAACATATGAGCTTATGTTGGGAAATTGAAGGGGTATTGGGTTCATGGCATCTGGTCCAGCTTGATCCCTGGCACCTGCCATGTTCCCACTGGTTCTCAGCTGACACCGGGGCTCTGATCTAACACCAGCCCTGGCACCCATGAGATGCCAGTGTGGGGGATGGCTCTGTCAATCCACTACACTGCATCCACAAAGCTTGGCTGAACCACAGACCATACCTTCCATGCTCACGGTTCCCAGTAGAATAAATACTCTTAATGCTTAAAGATTATCCAATGGATTTATGTATTTGGAAATGCTCAATTAACAAGATGCCCACACAATTAGAGTTGTTACCCAGTACCTAACCTTATGATATAAATTGTTACCCAGGACTGCCCTTGACCAATTCATCCTCCTCCATGGCTTCCAGTCTTCTCCTCTCTCCCCTCCTCTTCATTCTCCTTCCCACTCTTCACTCCTCCACATTAGCTCCTCCTCAATTACCGAGCTTTATTGCAAATAATGTAGCAGTAGCAGGAAATTATCCTGTTACAAACGGGTGTTCCTTTTGTAAGGTAGACTTGGGTAGCAGAAATTTGCTTTGCAGACTAGGGATTAGGAATTGGGAAATGCTTTAGTGAATAACCTGCCCTTAATTTACCACTTTCCTTAAGAGACAGAAGCCAAGTAGAAGTAAGGGGAAGGAGAGCCTGGGAGCAGCTGTGTTTACGCTGAGGCTTCTTAGGTTTCAGCACAAACCTTACTGTTTGAAATACACGCTCATCTCCATTAGCTTAGGCTTGGCTTTCTGCTTAATGCAGAACACCCCCAGGTTATTGCACAATACATTTTCATGACTTTTCCAAATTGCTAAGAGCTTTTTTTGCTTGTTTGTTTTGTTTTGAGACATGATTCATTACACAGCAGTAGCAAATGCAATAAGTTACAGTGTAGTTTTGGAAACAGAGAATTCTGGACTCAAATCTCAGCTCTGTTACATACTCACTGTGTGATTTGAGGCAAAGCCTGACCTTTCTCTTGTGACATGGCAAAGTTTTCTCCATCTTGTCTCAGTTGGAGTCAACTTTAACCTTGAAACTGACCATTTCTGCTTTTTCTACTTCCACCATGAAAAGTCCTCTGGGAACAGCACATCCAATGGGTTAAAAATGCTCAGATAACTTTATGTTTTGGCTTCTGTTAAACTGCATGCTTGTTCTACTTCCCCTGCAACTGCCAACCAGGTTGTAGTTTTCTGTGTTCTTAGTCTTTGAGAGCTCCCTGTAAAATGCACTGGAGGCTGAATTTTAGAAAGAAGTGTTTCTTTCCAGGCAGTTGCCTGCTGACTTAATGCAGACTCTTGTACTTTGGTTGTGTGGAGTGGTCTTTGGGTCTCTACCTGGCAACATATGGAGGCCCCAGTGAGATCCTTTCAAGATCCTCACCAGTTTGACCAACTCCAGGTCTCAGCACAGATTGTGGACCATTGCAGCCAAAGACTTCCTCCTATCAGGTGAGCAGTATGAAATATTATAGGGCTTCAGGAGAGATCTGCAGTGATCTAAACCCCTTTGATACCCTTAAATTTCCTTCAATAAGAGTCATCTAGGGGCTGGAGAGATAGATGGACTGCTCTTCCAGAGGTCCTGAGTCTGACTCGCAGCAACCACATGGTGGTTCACAATCATCTGTAATGGGATCTGATGCCCTCTTCTGGTGTGTCTGAAGACAGCTACAGTGTATTCATACATAAAATAAATACATCTTAAAAAGAAAGTCATCTAGTTTGTCATCTCAGGAGGTAACTCTGGTTAAGGGGCCTTCTGGTTAGGATATAGAAAGAAAAGGCTGGACCTGGCTGCTGATCCAATATTAGAATCTGTGTGAGACATCACTGGATTACACTGGTCTGTTCAGGTATATGAATGTGTGGAATGTGTGGTGGACATCCCTGATTGTCTTTACTATGTGTTTCTCTGTGTGTCTATGTGTTTCTGTCAGTTCTGTTTTCCTATATTGACCAGTGGCTTTATCTGGTATGAGATGCCACTTGCTTTACGACCTGTACCCTCTTTGTTAGGGACCCAAATCTTTTTGGCTCTGCCAGGTTGTTCAGTGAAACCCCCAAACCTCTAAACCTCTACTTGCCCCACTAAACCTCTATTTGCTCCACTAAACCTCTACTTGCCCCACTTCCGGAGTTGTTTCTTCTTTCTTTCTTTGACTCCAGTCCATGTGTAGAGGTGAGGAGGGGGCCTCTCAGCCAGAGGCCCCTGCTATCTAAGCAGATTGCACAACAGGGAGGAAGAAATAGTTCCCCAAGCTGTCAGCTCCTTCTGCTACATCCCCTACCTGCTCTAAGCAGTCTCACAGAAAGAAAAAAGTTCCTCTGGGCTAAGCCTTGTAGGAAAAGAGAAAGTTTCCCTTCCTCCTCTTTCATGATTTATGTTCTCTTTCAATCAGTGATCCATATAATTGGAAAACTGAAAACCCACCATTCTCTAAAAATGACAGAAAAACTGCCTCTGGGATGGGTGGGAGGATTGTTGCCAGACAATGCAGTCCAGATAGAACAGATTTTCCCTGCTGTCCAACATTGGCCAAGGAGACTTTAATCAAATTTTACTAGACTCTTTTAGGAAAGATTAAAGGCAGCTGCTCAAAAAAGATTGCCTTTATCATTTAGTTGTTCTCAGATATTAGAAAAAATTGATAAAAGTCAGAAAAATGTAAAGGTATAAGTAGGTCTCAGTTGCTGGAGGTAGATCAAGAAATGGTTAACAACAGAGAGACAAGACCTTTTGCATAGATTGAAAGACACTGTCACCTTCTCTGGTGGAGAGACACAGTTAGACTTACAGATACCCAGCAAATTTTGGTGTCTTGCCCTTTGTCAGAAGAATGTCTCCTAGCTGAAAATCCTGCCCAAAAATCCAGTCAAAAGATAGCTTTAGACTATCTCTCAGATTTACAACAAAGATTCCAAGGGGTATGGGCAGAAACCAACCTCCCAGGACTGGCCTAACACCAAGTCCCTATAATTGTTTAATCAACCAGTTCAACTACTCCTGTCCAGATTAAACAATGACCCTGTAAACAAAAGGAAAATTTCAGTCCATATCATCTGGCTTAGAGAGACATCCTGGCACGCTGCCAGTCACCCTGGCATATACCTCTTCTGCCTGTGAAGAAACCTGGGACCTCTGATTATATATTTGTTCAAGATCTAAGGGAAGTAATAGGAGGGTCAAGACCATTCACCCTATAGTTACAAACCCATTCACACTCATGAGACTGATTCTTCTAGGTTCACTGGTCTAGGTTCACTAGATGTTCACTGTCTTGCACCAGAACAGTACATTCTTTAGCCTCCCATTGGTAGAGGTGAGTCAATCATCAATGCTTTTCAACAGACAGACCCAGATGGAGGTTACAGTGGGCAGCTTACTTGGACCAGGTTGCCATAAGGTTTTAAAAATTCTCCAGCCCCATTTGATAAACTCATCTCCTCTGATCTCCTGCCTTTCTGACAGAGGCTTCCTGGGACCATATTTTTACAATATGTAGATGACCTCCTCCTAAAATATATTGTAAAAAGGCCACTGAGGGATTGCTGTAAGAGAAACAAACAATAGGCTATGAAGTATTGTCTAAGAAAGTTCAAATTTTGTACATCAGAGTCTACTTATTTTGGTTATTATCTGAGGAGAGGCAAAGGAACCTGCCTCAGAGTAGGACTGCTGTCATACTTTATATCCCAGCTCCAAAGACTAAGAGACAGGTTTGAGTGTTCCTAGGTGTGCCTACGTATTGCTGCCTCTGTATAACAGGGTTTGCAGAAATTGCAAGGTCTCTAAATACCAGCACAGAGTAGGGTAATGAGCCCCTAATCTGGGCTGAGACTGAATAACATGCATTTGAGGTTTTAAAAACAGTCCAGACTCTGGCTCTAGGATTAGCACTTCCAGATGTCTTCAAACCTTTTCATCTGTTAGTCTATGAAACAAAAAGCACTTCAAAAAGCACTTAACCTAAACTTTGTAGCTGTGAAAATCCCTTGTGACATACCTGTCCAAACGATTGAACTCTATAGCCTCAGGGTGGATCATCTACCTAAGAGCTAGGGTGGTGACTACTAGTCTAATTAAAAAATTGTTAACTCTGGTTAGGTACCCCACAGCAGTTGAGGCTTTCCTCCAAGGAA